CTAAAAGACATCTGCTGCCCGAGAACCATAACTCAGGCTGACACTAAAGAGGCGCTGTGTGTTTTGTCTGGACGGCGGTGGTATTATTTTAGTCTGCAGAGGAAAGAGACAGGAGTGGGGTCGGTGGCTGGGAGGCTTGTTTGCGCCGGCGCTACTCTTTGAGACGGCTGAATGTTGAAACATTGGTACTCGTCAGGCCGTGAGGATGGTTTACATTCCTGGTAAGTGTCCGTCGATCCTGGAATGTGCACATGGAGAGGAGCACATATGGACTGGTAGAAAACAAGCCCGCTTACAATAATACTCACCAAAGAGCTGGTCATGTCGGTGTGTGTTTAAAGTCTGTCTGACAGCCCGCCAGAGAGTCTTGTACTGTATGGAAAAATGAGGATAGGCTTTGTGGACAGAGAATTATGTATAGGCACTTGTGTTATGGATTAAAAGTACTATGTCATATTTGAATGCAGTGAAACGATTTTCAGCATTTTGTATTATAAAATAGTTTTATTATTTAGGCTATAGTGTTTTGAGCCACTGACACTGACAGTTTACCCCAGAATAATGTAAAACCACTTTGCCCTATACAATTTTGGGAAAAATGCATTATTTAATAATTTCACATTTACATGGTTATATTTTGCGTTAACATAATATTTATTTAGGTACATTTAATTGAGCCATTGTTTTCACAGTTTACCCCAAAAAACTGTGATTTGCTAATTTGTTGGAAAAATGCAGAATTTAGTAAATCCTAATAATTTACATGATTATAAATGTTACTTACTTTATTTATTTATTTATTTAGGTTCATTTTTACTCATTTAATAATTTTTTAATTATTCGTTTTTAAAATAAATATGCTTTGGCATGTAATTTATTAATTAATTTGTTTATTTATTTAGATTTTAGGTTTGATTATTTTTTATTTAATTCTTTTTTTAATTAATGTTTTAAATGAATTTGCTTTGGCATGTAATTAATTGTACCTATATAACAGTACTATTAGTGGGGAAAATTGTTATAATTTTATAATTCTTTCGACAATTAAATTTGGTTTTAAAAATATTTTTTTATATTTAAAATATTAAAATATTTTTAGTTTTTTATTATTATTTTATTTTTGATAAATTTTCTTATTAATTTTACAGGTACATGCAAATAAATAAATAATAGTAATAAAAAACAACAACAAAAAAAACTTTTATGGCATCTCTCAAACACAAGCATTTAAAAAATATATATTAATACTACTGAATTACTGAAGTGGTTTAAACGACTTCTCTTTCCACTCTATAGATGTTCCACAGCAATCTTTTGAATTTCGTGCATATTTTTCTTCATGAAAGTCAGTGATTTTATTTTTGAACTGTACCACAAATGAGTCTGTCCCTCCGGGGATCACAGACACAAACAGAGAGTAATATCAGCAAGTGTGTGCTGAGGTTCTTACAGTAAATATAGTAATAACTGAGAATGTAGGTTTATACCCTGCAGAGATTTCACCTCTCTTAGAACACACTTGCATACACATGATTTTTTCCATGTTGCAGTGCAACTGGTTTTCACATGGTTCCTGAGCCAACTTTAAAGCAGATATTGTTTAAACGATTTCAAAAAGTTATCATATTTGTCCACCAGTGTTTTGCAGTTTAAATTATTCTGTCAAGATAATAACCCCCACTCCTCAAAAAAGAAAAAAAACAATTATTTTCCACTATAATGCATGGTGGAAATTTCTGAGAAACATCTGTCCCACTGTACAGAAACAGTGCATTGAAAGTGACCTAATAGAATCATTTAACATCATTTCGGCTTGTGTACTGTAGTTAATGCAAAAGCAACCAAGTGTGAAAGCAAGTGTCTTTTAGCTGGTCTAATCACCTGGGTAAATTCTGATTTAATGCATTCAAGTAATCCCATTTCTCTCTCTTCCCCAGTGCAAGCGTCTGGAACAAGAGCTGCTTCGTGTGAAAGAGCCGTGCCATAATTCTGCAAACAGCACCCGCCACCTGGCTGCCCAAAACAATCGGGAACGAGCGAGCAAGGTAAAACACACACACACACACTCCTCCCACGTGGGAAGCAGCCTCTGGAAATGAATGTGATGAGCCCCCGGGTTAGCCTGCGCTAGCTTTCAGCGAATACACGTAACACGCCAGGGTGTTTGCCAACAACACCATTCTCGAATCCGACCTTCACCGTACGTGCAGTCCCGCATACGATGCCCCTTTCAGACCATCATTACGCTCTCCACTGTATCATTCATTAACTTCTATTTGCTCTCTACTGCTCTTGTTTTCCAGTGATTTGCAGCGATAGACTGACGGCCCCGGGTGTCTGTTTGACAGGGTTTTAGGATGACACAGGCCGGTCAGTGTGCTGCGATGCCTCGCCACGGGTCTGTCAGGGAGACGCAGGGCAAACACGGGCCTATTTGATTTGCTGTATTTATCTGATGCAGCCAGAGCCCTTGAGTTTAATGCAGAGTGCTGTAAAAGGGCTGTCATTAGATAGAGCTGAGTAAACACGTGCTGAGAGAGACTGGGCCGAGCAGGGGGCTGGTTTCAGCAGGGGTGCTGAGTCAGGGCCACGCCCCGGACATTTAACACACTTACAAACCTGCATCTTAAGTGAATATACGAACGCACTAACTGCATTTGATGTCATCATCCACTTAACCTCACCACCCACTGGGCTGATGATGTCAGAGCGGAGGTTGAGCTTGTGTTATTGTTAGCATGGTGACAGTTTTTATTTGATTTAATTTGATTACTTAGTGTGTGTATTTTTCCCTTCAACATACAAAGTTTTATTCTTCGCATATCTATATATCAGTGTAATGGCAGTGAGATATTTGCTGTTATTGAATCTTTTTTGGTAATTGATTATGATAAAACCCTCTCAGAAAAGTAAATAAATTTATATTTATTACCTAGATTTAATATTATTAATGATATTAATAACAAAAAGTTAATAATATGTCTAGATAATTTCATAAATAATCAAAAGTAAGTTAAAATAAATAATTTATAATTTAATTTTAATTGAATTATTATTATGAATAGTAATAATAATAATAACAACAACAAAAAGTTAATAATAGATCTAGATAATTAAATAATAATAAAAAAAATCTAAATAAATAACTTTTATTATTTAATTGTAATTAATTTATATTTTTTGATTGTATTATTATTTTTAATAATAAATTGTTAATATTATAAATTATTATTAATATGAATAAATAATAAATTGTTGTTATTATTATTATTATTAAAGAGTATTACTATTATTTATAAATAATAATAATTCTTCTTATTCTTATTTATTTCTAAAAGCAAATGTTAATTCATTTTTTATTGTTGTTGTTGGTGTTTTATTGTTAAATTGAGCCCTAATTTTTAAAAGTCATTTAAGGAAATGTATTTCAGATGCTTATTTATTCATGCGTTTTCTACCCAAGTATTTACTTGTTTTAATGGTGTATAATCAAATAATAATCAAAAGTGAATTAAAAGAAATAATTTATTATTTAATTTTAATTGAATTATTGTTATTATTATTATTATTATTATTATTATGAATAGTAATAATAATAACAAAAAGTTAATAATATATCTAGATAATTAAATAGTGATCAAAATAAAATATTTGTATTATTATTTTATTTTTAAAAAATGTAATAATAAAATGTTATTATTATAATTTATGTATATTATTATTAAAAATGTTATTATTTATAAATAATAATAATAATAATAATTATTATTATTATTTATTTATAAAAACAAATGTTAATTAATTTTTTGTTGTTGTTTTTGTTAAATTGAGCCCTAATTTTTAAAAGTTCATTTAAGAAAATGTATTTCAGATTCTTACTTCATGCGTTTTCTAGGCCAGTATTTACTTGTTTTGATGATGTTAGCCATATGATGAACACGAAGCAATGGTGAGGGGCAAAACCGATCATATAATGGTATTCCAGTTTCGTGACAGATTTTATGATTAACAAATAGATGCTGGGTTGTTTATATTTAGTCGTAATGATGTGGAGTGTGGTCTGAAAATGCTGGGATGCAACTGTGCCACATGGTGACGATTACCGGTAGATATAAAATAATAATTATTTATAATCTGACAAAAAGGTCCAGTCTGTCTCCAGGCAAAGCTTTCTGAAGATTTAAAAAAATTATATTTCACATTTAAGACGGTTCGGCTGATGGCTTATTAAGAAATATATTAAATTTTGTTATTAATGTAGCACTTGGTTTTTCTATAAATCCCCTTAATTATAGATTGACTCCTGGGATTACAGAGCGGGGTTTTTAATTTAAAACGAAATGGGAACAGCTGTCGTAAAATTAGTCAACAGTGCCAGGAACATATCCACAAAACAATTTAAAAATGAACAGGACTTCCACTTATCGATTGACATTTTACTTTAACGAAAGCCGGAGGAAGTCTGCAGGGTGAAAAAAAGAGTTGAGTTTAAGATGATGAGCAAAGACTTCTTCATCTCAAATCTTTATATTTAGCTTTTAGCTCACACTAACTTTCAGGGATTTCATTTGGATGATTAATTTCAAGGTTTATAATCGCCACACTCTTTAGAGAAAGAGAACGTTAACCAGTGATCTTTTTGATCATGGAAATTATGATCAAAGATAGGCTAGTTGTTTTTTCTTTTCTCTTTTCAATTTAGATGTAAATTAGGGGTGTATTTAGCGCTTGTTGTCATTTCATCATCATTTTTTCACCAGAACAGCAAAGCACCTGCAGAGTGTTTTTTTGGCTTGTGACTTTTGTCAGTTGATAGCACCCGGGGCTATTCCTTGTCTTATCTCTTCAGTCTGTCTCTTTTTCACCTCAGCACATGTACAAGAACCTGTTCAACAACCATCTCAGAGTCGTCACAATACATTTATTGTGGGTCAGGTTTTGCTATCTTTGTGGCCAGCAGTTGCCCACAGTAAAAAATGACCTACGATATAGTCAACATGGACTAAAAAATGAAATCTAAAATGGCCAGAAGGTGTATAAATGGGTGTGCATGTGTTTTAAGGTGGAAAAATGATCAGACACATCTATGTGCCATCCTTACCCCTTGCATGTAAATTTTTAGCTATTTAGCTAATTTGATAAAATTTTTAGCACTTTTTAACACATTTAAAGGTTTTCTGCAGAGTTTCTCTGATTTTTCCCTCCGAATTAGACACTGAAAATGCTAAATGATCTGCTGATTTCGTCTGGGCTCTTCATTTTAGAAAATATGTTAACAGGAAATCCTGACAATCATTTTAAATGTGTGTGCACTGCAGGTTTGTTGGGACCAATTTTATGGTAATTTCATGAGAAGAAATGTCCTGACACAAAACAAGATTCATTAAGGGACAAAAATGACCAAAACTTAACTGTTACAGTTAGTCTGTAATGATTAGAATTGGCTTGCATTAACATAATACAGATTCATACTGTATATATTCTGGTTGGTTGGCTGGTTTTAGTTTGAAGAGCGTGAGTCCCTCTAAAAGAAATGCTGAGTGGGGGATGTGGACGAGAGCTTTGCCCTCGCTCTGAACCACCTGTGTTTGCTCTGCAGCTTTTCTCTGTGCATTGACCGCAGTGAAGTGATCTCACACGCCTGCTCCTGCCCCCATCACTCTCTAGGCCTAGACCTCACCTTTAACTCTGATTTCATCTGCTCTGAACCTCATGGACCATTAAATGTGGATAATATTATCTTTATGACCTCTTTACTGTCAGTTTGCCCAAAAATGCCCTTCTGTTTAGATAGAAATATTGAAATTCTGTGGAACACAAAAGTAGAAGCTGTAGCCCGCAAATCTCATTTGCACTTGTGTGCATTCAAACCTGCCAGATGTAATACTAGTGAATTAATCCCAACATCTTGTCGCGTTTTAATGTTTGGAATATAGCAAACTAGTTAGGCTATATGTGCTGCTTTAATGATACTTTTATGGTGCTTTTTTACTTTGATAGTCCCTGTTCACTATATGCTTTTGTCCTATAAAAAAATGGGTGCCATTTGCTTGTTGTAACTGTTCCAAAATAGACTTATTCACTGAATCTAATAGCATACATATTTAACTATTCAAAATGTGTTGTGGTCAATCTCAGATAACTTTATTTAATTTTTACAAGGTTTCTAAGTGGAAAATTGGTGCATTGTTCTCAGTCCTGTTGTCTTTTAAAAAGCAAGTTTAAAAGCATGTCAAGTAATTCCTTTGTTTTTCTCTTAAGAAAGTGTTTATTTTAAAGAAATGGTTGGGTACACGTTTAAATAATTGATATTTGTGACTAAAAATCATTATATTTATTTATGTTATATGAAAGCTGTATTTTCAATAAAACGCAAAGCCATTTTTTTTTTCATTTTAAAGTACACCCAAACCTCAATTTTGTCAATTTGTTATATATAAAAATATAAATTTTTTTTAAACTAAATTTTTTTATATATATTTTTTTATGTAATAAACAATTGGATAAATATTGGAATTATTTTGCAGTATATTTTTTTGTGTTCCACAGAATTAAGAAATTCAAAGTTTTGGAATGATGTTTGGGTGAATAAATTATGATAATTTACATTTCTGGGTGAACTTTTGTCTAATTCTCTGTTTTATGAGCTGTAGCCTAACGGCACACATGCTGTGCTCATGCATTCGAATCTGGCCTGAGTGCATCATGTCCTGGTTTCATTCCCCCTCAAATAAATGATAGTGGGTCCTCATAAAGATTGCATAAACCATCTCTTTCAAAGCATGCAGTTCTTTGCAGATATTTTAGTTGTAGAAGGTGTGGGTCTTATAGGTGTTTTAAAGCCAGGGGCATCAGCTCTGCTATTTTGTGCTGACTGTGTTACGAGAGAGATTTATGAGTGTGTTCTGCGGAGGAGGGCTCTTTGTTGTCAGACAAGGATGCAAGTCTTTTGTCTCTGTCCTGGCGAACTGAATTTGTTTGATCAGACATCATCAGGTGACACAGGCTTGGAAATAGAGAAGGGTGCATGTGTTTCACAGGATTAGTTCTTTATACTGAAACGCTTGTTGAGTCCCATTCACAATTTTTTTTTTACATGTGAAACATTAAAATTCTAACGACAGTTAGAATAAGTATTAGTTTGGTAATAGTTTAGCAGATACTTTAATGCATTTATTAGAAGTTGGAAAAGTGCAGGCTAGAGATACGAGTATAATCTGGCAGCAAACTATTTCCCTTGTGAAAAAGAAGTACAGTTTAGCATACTTTAGCAATTATTAAGGAAATAATATGTTAAAAGAACATACTTAAGTACATACTTAAGCGTATGTTAATTGCAATTAAATGAGAATGTATTATAGTTTAAATTATATTTTTTACCCCACATGAGTAGGAATAAACTAAATCTTCATAATTTTGAAATTTTTAACTATATTGTCTTTGAAATATGTGTCCTGCTGAATGTACTGACAAGTATTTATGGTTTCATTTATTTATGATATTTCATTACTGTTGTCATTTAAGTTGGAACTTGTATGCCATGTATTTAAATACATTTGTAATTCCATATTTTTAATGATGAAGTCATTTGGTATATTTTAAAATATATTAACTTTAAATGTGAATATTAACTATAAATATAAACTTTCCGTGCACTTAGGTATGTTAGTCAAACATCAACATACATTAAGTGAAATACTTTAAAGCATGACAAAAGATTATTAAATCATAATAATTTAACATGTACTTTAAAGTAAAACTTTTGATTTGACATTATTACAAAGTGCAATTTTTTGTGTACTTAAGTGTAAGAAACAGGAAAGTGTTTAAGTACACTTAAGTGGACTTTTATTTTATTAATATTATATTATCTGAGTTTTAAAAAATCTTCTTTTAAGGTTTGAAGTACACTACAAGTGCACATTCAATAGTTAAGTTCACTTAGATTTTTTTGAAGTTGTAAATAAAACAATGATTGATGAATGTCTGAGCTGCTGTTTTAAATATGACAAACATATGTGATTTTTACTGTTACGCTGTGCTAATGGGATAAAAAGCACTAAAAAGTACATTTAATGGCCAATTCACACCAAAGAGCATAATTATATTGATAACTAACTATAAAATTTTAATAATCATTCTATAACACTACACAATGCAATTTGTCATTCATTGCGCAACATTCCTTTATTTGGGCTGTATTTTTATGGACTTTTCTTAGAGTCTAGTTCACATGTCTCGTGCTCTATATTTGACGTTTTCTCATGTAATATGATTACTTTGTATGAAAAATAGACCACAATTTACCTAGTATTTGCAGAAAATCTTTCCTTTCCAGTCTCAAATCTCATTTGCACTTCTACTCGAAGAAATCTTATGATTTCTGAAGATTTTGAATATTGCACGCAAGCACTTTAAGTGCTTATTTGTCTTGTTTGAAAGTTTAATTCTTTCCCCCATACAATAACATGGAGATCAGTAAATGAAAGAATCTTTTTGTGGGGGTAAACTATTTCTTTAAAAGAAAACGTACTTGTTGATTCTCTGTCTTTCTCTTTTAACCCCCCTCTTCTCTGTTTATCTCCCCAACTCTCCCTGCCTTTGTCCTCCCTCGTCTCTCAGGAGTATATTGCAGGCCTTTACAGTAGCACATGTTGTCATGTTTGTTTAGACAGTCTCCATTGTGTCTGTCTGCTCGCCCAGCTGTTGATAGGATGAGCCCATCAGTACATCTGTTTCAACGGCAGGTCATTAGCAGGGGCTTTATTGTGCCGCAGGTTTAGGCACTGCGAGGTAGGGGACAGTGTTTACCCGGCCTTCCCCGCACCCACCGGCCCAGGGATCCCTCGGCCTCACGACACACCGCTGCTGAGTAGGTGCTGAGTTAAGAGACAATAGAGTCAATTGGAACCCCCTCAGACTGAGTCTCTCCTTGTGTGCACACGAGCCAATAAATGAAGTTCAGGTGGGGTTCAGATAGTTATCTGTCTGACATCGGTATGAATAAAAGCCTGCCCAATCTGAAGTCGAGAAAACAATTAAATGAGCCCATAAATATGAAATGATGTTAATGTTTGATTGCTCTTCATTAGACCAGTATGCTTTACGTGACAGTAGGAGAAACCGCTTATGTTAATGCTCGCAATAACGCTTGCACGGCAACACTGAAAATCTGGCGCATACCTGCATCATATTATGAATTCTGTTCTCTTCCGTGCCGATGAAAGCACGGTCCATGCAACTTTTTTTATTTATTTGGTTTGATTCATTACTGTTACAACAATTGATTTGCATCATATTTTTAGTATTTGTATTTTTGTATTTACCCAGGGATCCCTCGGTCTCACGACACACCGCTGCTGAGTAGGTGCTGAGTTAAGAGACAATAGAGTCAATTGGAACCCCCTCAGACTGAGTCTCTCCTTGTGTGCACACGAGCCAATAAATGAAGTTCAGGTGGGGTTCAGATAGTTATCTGTCTGACATCGGTATGAATAAAAGCCTGCCCAATCTGAAGTCGAGAAAACAATTAAATGAGCCCATAAATATGAAATGATGTTAATGTTTGATTGCTCTTCATTAGACCAGTATGCTTTACGTGACAGTAGGAGAAACCGCTTATGTTAATGCTCGCAATAACGCTTGCACGGCAACACTGAAAATCTGGCGCATACCTGCATCATATTATGAATTCTGTTCTCTTCAGTGCCGATGAAAGCACGGTCCATGCAACTTTTTTTATTTATTTGGTTTGATTCATTACTGTTACAACAATTGATTTGCATCATATTTTTAGTATTTGTATTTGTATTTTTGTATTTGTATAGATCAATATATCGGACAATTGATCGTCAAATATTTGGCAGTTTTTTGACTCGTTGGTGAGAAATCATGTCCGCTTGGCTAATTAATTTTAATAGTACCCCATTGTCAGTTCCACAGTCTACCAGCAGTTAGAAAATGTGGTTAATGCATAAATATTATATATTCATTTCAGAGTTTTTTAAAGCATTTTTTTTGCTAGGAAACCATAAAGTAAATTTGAATTAAATATTATATATTAATCTTAACAGTTTTTATTTATGCATTAATTTTATTTTTTTTTACTCTTCGGTCATGCGATTCTTTGTTTCTTGGAGGTTTAGTAAATATGAATTAATAAATTGTAAAAAATGTGGTTAATGCATAAATATTATATATTCATTTCAGAGTTCTTTAAAGCATTTTTTTAGCTAGGAAACCATAAAGTAAATATGAATTAAATATTTTGAGTTTTTATTTGTTTAATTTCAACAGATTTATTAATGTTTTATTTCTTTTCAGTTTTTTCTTTTGCTATTAGTAAAACTCATTGACTGTGCACTAATTCTCCTTATGGAATTCTATGTATTTCTTTGACGTTTATTTAGGAGACAATAAAGTAAATAATTAATAATTATGTATTCATTTAAACTATTTTTATTTATGCATTATTTATTTTCCTTTTTTATTTTATCAATATATTTTTAGGGGTTTTTTCACTGGTAAAACCCATATCGGCTGTGCTGTTCTCCTCATGTAACTCTTTGTGCTTCTTAAAGGTTTAGTTTTTTGTTTGAGCTGTCCATACATGAACAGTGTGTTGTAACAGAGCGCGATATGATCTGACATGCATTTCTCCAATCTACAACTTGAGGAGGAGCTTCAAGAGGCCCAGAGAGAACGAGATAAAACCCTGCTGCACAGTCACACAGTGGAAGAGGATCTGCAAACCTTACGCAGGTATCACAGGTGATCCACCTCACCTTACACTGCACAGTAACTTCTTAAACCACTCACTTGATGCATTTTACAGTTTGTTTTAGTTGTGGTGGAGCATGAACCTGCTGTGACATGCCTTAAGTGTTCAATGAACAAATAAACAAAGGTGCAGAGCAAGGTGTTTTGAAGGATTGTAATAATTCAGGTGATGGATAATGTGTTGATGTTAGTGCAGGAATTAGGAGGAAGCCTTTGCATGCCATTCCAGAGGTGAGGAACCAAGAGGGCTTTGTATTAGAGGGTCCAGTCCATCATCTCTGGATTCTTGAGGTTTATGCATGTCACAAGAACCATAGTTGGTAATGCTTTTAGGGAACACATATGCATTATTAACAAAGAGTTTTCCCTCAATAAACTCCTAATTTGCTGCTTATTGATTGTTGTTTGAAGTTGTTAAGTTTAGGTATTGAATAGGGTTAAGGGATCTAGAATATGGTCATGCAGAATAGTCATTAATATGTGCTTTATAAGTACTAATAAACAGACAATATGCTAGTAATATGTATGCTAATAAGCAACTAGTTAATAGTGAATAGTGTTTTCTAATCTAAAGTGAGTCACGCTTTATTTTAAGGTCCAGTTCTTGCTATTAACAAACCATTAACTATGACTTTTGCCTCAATAAACTCCTCTAATTTACTGCTTATTAATAGTTAGTAAGGTAGTTGTTAAGTTAATATATTGAGTAGGATTATGGATGTAGAATATAGTCATGCAGAATATGTGCTTTAAAAGTACTAATAATCAGACAGGCATACTAATAAGCAACTATAGTTAAGAGTGAGAATTGGTCCCTATACTAAAGTGTTACCCCATAGTTTTGTCTAGCCAGACTTTTGACTAGTTTACAAACTTTCATTGTTGCAGCCTGGGAGCTCATAAACGTAACTTTGTTTCCCGTCCAACCATTTTAGAGACCAATTTCCATTTTTTTGTGCAATATGCATCAAGTGATCTGAGGTTAAGACTAGTACCGTTGTTCACCTACACTCTTAAAAATTAAGGTTTTTTATTGGCCTCTATGATTCTATGAAGAACATTTACCAGTCATGGAATCTTTCAGTTGCACAGAAGTGGAAAAAGGTTTTTTAGATTATTAAAATGGCCTTCAGAAGATAAATGGTTATTTTAAGAACTGTTCACCAGAAGGTTCTTTTATGAAACCTGTTCTTTTCTAAACCTTTATTTTTAAGAGTGTAGGTACGTTAGTACACAGTATAAACCTTCTTTTTACTTGTTTAGCTCCTTTTGGTTATGTATTTGACAGCCAGCAGTAGAATAGTTGTTAATGAGGTGTTTTCTGTATCACAAAACATCCATAATTTAAAAAGACCCTCATTGCCTGTCACTCGTTTCACCTAATTTCATTACTGATCGAAGCAGAAAGTATGAATCATGCACTGAGTCATCATCATCCAGCTTTATAACAGATTATGAACATTGAAACTGGCTTTTATGTGTTTTGTTTGCTTTGCACAGAGAAAAATAAATCGCTCGACTTAAGTGCAGTGAGTCATTAGATTACCGCAAACTCATGATCTCAAGGATTGAAGCGTTCGTGAAGTTGTGATGTCGAGCCACGTCTCCTGCAGACGCTGTCAGAGGTCTGTCCACGCTGGGATTCTCAGCGCAAAAAAGCCTCCAGAGGCACCAACTACAAATGTTTCAGCACCACCTAACATCTGATTGTTTTGGCCTGCGAGTTGACGTCTGTGCTTATTTAAGGTTTTATTCAAAATGATAGTCAGGGTCTTAAATAACCAAACCAAAGCATTCCCAGTGGTTGTGATGGACTACCGCAGACCCTCCCTCCCCGGTTCTTGTCTTCCAGCCAGAGGGCTTGTTTGCTTTACTTGGGGTTTATCTGTCAGTGAGGACGGCTTTGATAGACGATATGGAGTAAATACATTTGGCTCATAAACTGGTCGTGCTGGTTAAGTGAGCTGCGTCCGGTTTCACCGAGATGTACATCCGTGTGTATCAAGGACTTTCCATTTGCATTCGTCACATCTTATTAGATCTCTTCCGCATCTCGTTGTGCATGATTGCGTGTTTGTGTTTCACTCCAAAAGGGTTTTACCACCCAGTCATGCCATATGAGAACTTTTGCCAACACGCTGCAATAAGTTTTTTTTTAATAGTATTTATTCATCTACATTAATGCATACAATTTTTTACATATACATTTTTACCATTTTAAGTTGGATAAATTAACATTAGTCAATGTTTTATAGACAAACATGAATAGTGTGCTGTAAAAGTTTGGGGTTATTAAGATTTTTTTAATGTTTATTTTCACCAAGACTGCATTTATTTGATAAAAAAAAAATAGGAATATTGTGAAATTTTTTTTCTATTTTAATGCATATTAAAATGCAATTTTTTCCTGTGATGGCAAAGCTGAATTTTCAGCATCATTACTCCAGCAGTGTCACATGATCCTTCAGAAATCATTCTAATATGCTGATTTGCTGCTCTAGAAACATTTCTGATTATTATCAATGTTGAAAACAATTGTGCTGCTTAATATTTGTGTGGAAACCTTGACACATTTTTATGAGAATTCCTTAATGAATAAAAAGAACAGCATTTGTTTAAAATACAATAAATTATTTGAAATATAATTTATTTATTATAATTAAATTTATTTATATTTATAATTTATTTGGATAATTTTTTTCAAATAATAAGGGTTTTTGCCACTTTTGAGCGATTTAATGCATCCTTGCTCAATAAAAGTATGAATTTCTTTAAAATAAATCTTGTGTATAGTTATACATTTCAAATTAATATTAACCTAGATTTTTTAAGAAATGTGAAAGTGTTCACTGCTAGTTCATGGTACCTAATCTATAAATGTATATTAATAAATTGGCCCATGTTTTAAAGTGCTTCCAAAGGTTTATAAAGAACTGTTCTTTAGTTCTTTAAAAATTATTCAGAAAATGACACGGTTATCTGAAGAATTGTTATTGTTTTTTGGTATGTGTATGATGTTGGTGCTCAGCCGAGGCATATACGAACTTATTGTTTTGAAAACTGTCCTCCTAAAGTAATACAGTTCACATCCAAACTCACGTAATCTGAGAAGAGAGCTCTCACTCTTGTAGTCTTTTCTGTCTGTCCCAGCAGGAGGAGGAGAAGGAGCACATTGTATTTCCTCAGACAATCTGCATTGTGTGAGCGTCAGGGTGTCCCAACACTGGTCCCCAGCCCCTGCCAATGTGGCTGCAGCACTGAACCTTTAAAAGGAGAATCCTCCAGGCCCAACAAAGGCCAGAGTATGGCTGCGTGTGTTTGCTCTCAGGATTGCCCGACCACCTCCATTGTGTCTTTTAGGATAACAGACAGTCTGTGTCACATGAAAGGGCAGCGAACAGATGAGAGAGAGAATGGGGTGTTAGAAAAAAATGTCTGCAGCGTGAACCTCGGGCTTTGATAGAACTGGCTCCGAATAGTGTAGCTTACACACGCTCCCCGCTGATAAAGAGAAACACTTGCAATTTTGTTCACTTAGGGTGGGTTGTTTTAATGGGTTATCATTGGCCGGCCGGTGACTGTGAGTTTAAGGTGCTTTGTTTGAGTGTCAGCCAGGAGGGAGACAGCACTGGATAGACGTGTATTAACACCACAGGTCTCCGTACGGTCCAACTCCCCAGTGATCACTCATTATCACACATGCTAACAGCTCGACCTGTCAACACTTGCAGCTCGATAGTCATTAGCAGATACAACGTACACATACATGAGCTCTCTTTTTCCAATAGTCTTGCACTACACCGTAAGCCAAAGAGCCCAGTTTCGATTTTCAGCTCAAATCTGATTTTTTCCCCCGGGTTTTTCACATGACCTTTTAAATCTGACCCACTGGTCTGAATGGTCCTAAACTGACCTGTAAGCATAAACCAACCTGCCCTGATATGTTCATCAAAAAAATCAACACATTTCATAATATCATTGATATTATATTATATTTTGTTATTTTATGAAATTAGAAGAAATTAAAACCTTAAACATATATGGAGTAGCATCAACATAACTCTTATTGTTAATGCTAACATGTATTACATTATATGATAATATTAGCATAAAAAATATTTTTATAGTTTTTAATACAATATTTTATAATATATATTTATGATTTTATATATATATATATATATATATATTGTTTTTTTCAACATTCTTTTCAGAATAGACATCTATATATATATATATATATATATATATATATATATTTTTTATATACACATTTTAGTTTTTCTTTAGATTTTTTTAGTTTTATTTATGATGGCAAAGCTGAATTTTCATCTGAATTTTTCAACATCCTTTTCAGAATTCAGAATAGACATCTTTTATAACATTATAAATGTCTTTACTGTCATTTTTCATCAATTTAATGCATGGTATACATACATATATAAACCGATTTGAGCCAGTCTTTTGCGGAGTCTCTCTCATTTTCATATTTCATATTTGTGTTTATTATTAACTTTGTATATGAGGTAGCACAGTAGTAAGTTGTCTGATCTTTATAGAGATTTCTAATCATTCATCTCTCAGCGAACTGATTATCAGTGGCATTTATTTCCATTTTCTTGTGTTTTCCCCCTTTCATTCAAACCCCCGCCGATTGAGCTGAAATGACTTATTCTCAGAAATCCTTGAACACTGATAACACCAGTAGTTATGCAACATTGCTAGATGGAAACTTTGAATTTATGTGATATTTATAACGCCTGTGGCATTAACCGACTTTATTCCCAAAACAGAGCAAACTGCAGCTGCTGCATTAGCCGTCTTCGCCGTTCTGTGCAGCAAAATACATTTTGTAGATTGCATGGAACTCCTCCCAGCAAGCAGTGCCTGCTTTATCCAAACGCACAGCAGCGTTTCTGCCCAGGCTCAGTGCAAGAAATTCATTTTTTTCATGAACAAATGATCACAACTTTGCTATTTGTGTTCACCAT